GGTCAGGCCTCGGGACCCACTTTTTACTTTGTCAATAAATCGCGACCCACCAATTTGAACCACTCAAATCTATTCAACAAAAAAATCGTGCTGTAATATATATACTTTTCAGCATACAATATGAATTAAAGTGAAGTACAGTGCATATATCCCTTATATCCCTTCACAGAACCAAAGTATGCTTTGAAAAAGGTTTAATGAGATGATGGAATCAAAGCTGAACTTTATAACATAAAAAGACACACATGCTGAAAACACCAGAAGGGGGGTCTGGGGGCATTCTCCCCCAGGAGACAAATAAACATATAAACTATGCATTCTGGTACACTCTGAGAAGAAAATAAATACATCTATTACTAAACGACATATTAATAATATTTTCTGCCATTGTTTGTTTTTCACAGGCTTCAAAATATAAGTTTGAAAAACAAGCAAAACATTTTTTTTTTTTTAATCACTCATATATATATTTTTTAATCACACATCCGTGACCCACTCGAAACGGGTCTGCGACCCACCAGTTGAGAACCACTCTCTAGGTGTTCACTGGTCTTCCTAAAATCGAAAAATGTAATATCTGTTCTTTTAAACCCCATGTGTCAAACTCGAGGCCCGGGGGCCAAATCAGGCCCGTGGTGGATTTAATTTCGGCCCTCAGGATAATTTTTAATTACTATTAGATCTGGCCCGCCGGTATATTGCTCTCACACCTTCACTCCATCCTGAGGGTCTCCTCAGCTCAGAGCCTGAGCCCAAACATTGATGAACTTGCACCCAAGATGAGATGCCAAGTATCTGAACTAGCATCACAGAGCAGCACACTGAGTTTAATGGATGTTTCCTTCTGCACTTTCTCTCTCACGACAGCAGGGCATGTTTGGTTTTTTCTTTGAGGGAAATAGTTTTGTTGAAGCTGTTGTTGGCCTGTGGAGAAATGTAATCATAAGAAATGACTCTGGAAAAGCTGCAGATAGAGCCATAAGAAATGAATGCAACTGATTAGTTAATGTTTAATGTTGTTTTTATAGGCAATAATTTAAGCTTTGTTAGTTCCAGGTTTAATATGTGCAATAAGTTCATTTCAATAAGTTCTGCAATAAACATTGAACCAGTCCGGCCCTCCACTAGTACCCATTTTTGGATTTTGGCCCACTGTGTATTTGAGTTTGACACCCCTGCTTTTTAAACTATCCACTAACATCAATTTCATAATGTCATGAAGGTAGTTGTAAAACTGCGCATTGTTTGAATGATTTAAAACGTATACGTTTAACTACACAAGTTTCAGGAGTCACACTATACGTAATCTATATACTCCCCATATTGGGTCAGGTCCAGATTAAAATTTAGTAGAGATGTCGTATACTTTAGCTATTTTATGAGGGTAAAATGAATTAAAGCAGTTCAGTTTGCATAAATATAAAGGTTGGATAGACCTGATCTCATGAGATATTCACTCTTCATTGTATAGATGATTCTAAATGTCCAAAACACTGACAGCAAAAGCAAATAAAACTGTGACTGCTTTCACAAAACCAGATCAAAAATGATTTCACTTAAGCTGAACGCCAGACACTAAGCGTTGAGTAAGTTATGTAAAATGATCAAATCCTGGTTTGGCTGTTATTCAATAAAAATGGAATAAGATCGAAGTCACTTTCTGCAGGATGTGAAACAAAGATCTGAAGCTTTTTGCAGAATATGTACAAACCAGCGTTAATGAACATGCACCGAAAAACCTGTGTATTATGTCGACATATTTCACATAACTGTGTTAGGTTGGTTGACAGCCATAATGTAATAAGTTGAACCTAATATGTATTTATCTTAATATAATTGCTTTCAACTAATACAGTTATGTGAAATCTGTTGACATAATACATTTGATTTAAGTCAACGTCTCAGTTTTTTCAGTGTAACAATGCTTTGGAATAACACATAAAACAAAACTACAAAAAACCGAAATCAAACAACAGCATAAACATTTCCATGAGAGGGTAATTCTCCTCCAAGACATGAATCGCACTTATTTTTAAGCAAGTAAATGAGGTAAACTGTTCAAATATTATCATTGGTGTTTACTTAAACTTGAAATGGTCTAATGGTCACTCTATTTAGATATATGTGTTAAGGCAAAAGTCATTCACATGAATTTCGTAACATTACACTCTGATATTTCTCAGCAAGAAGCTGCTCTCCGTGTGATGATTCTCAAACATGCCTGCATTAATAAATATGAAGTATAATTTATATTGCAGCAAATACCATGTGTAATTGATTAGAAGCCAGATGTCCCTTACTCACGTCTTAGAAGCCCCTTGGTCTCAGTTTAAACCTCGACGTCATCTCCCAAATATAGCTTTGAATTACTCGCACTAAACAAGAAAACCAGCGACAATTTAGAAACACGCCGTGATTTATCAAACACAGGTGGGGTGGTGGAACTCCTCTGTTTAATCTGTAATGTAACGTTTACTTAATGATACTTCTTTTGGTTTAAAGGTTATTAAAAAGTCCTGTCAGAGCTGTGATTTTAGGGATTTCTCACAAAGCAAATTAGGAGTTGTTGAGCACGTAAATAATCAGACATCATGAGTCCTTATGGGTGCGGATGTCTAGATTATGGGTGTTCTCCAGCAGTGTTTCTGTATTTGACTCTGTTTAAAATGTACAAACTAAGCATATTTCTTTTCACATGAGATGATTTGATGACTGTTAAATGATGATACAGTACTATAACATCAATCATTTGAATTGAGGGTTAGAAAACACAGACGAAACAATTCCCACAATGTGATACAAGTCAGTGTGTGTTAACGTTAAGGATTATACAATGCTAATCTAGAAGCACGTCATTTCACTAGAACACTAACGTCAGGTGATTTTACAAAGAGAAATAGCGTTAAAAGAAAATTCTGAACACTCCACAAAAAATATATGTTTTACAATAAATCAATTTCTCCTATTTGAAGGATTGGTGCAAACAATGAGAACTGCATGGAGTCTCATCTGCCAATTGGTGTCTGGTATAGGATGAATTCACCGCAATTCCAAAAGACTAAAATAGGTTCTTAAATGGTAAAAAGCCATGCAGGTATTTTTGGTGAAATGTTCCAGATTTTGGGATCCTTCTGAGATTTCTGCCCTTTTTTTTTCTGCACTACCCATGCTTACAGAATTGTACAATTGCATTTGGAAACGTAGCAGCAGCATATCTCCTAAAGCCAGGGACCATGTTGAACACAGAGCTCAAGCTGTCAACAGTTTTTATCGGAACAACTTTCTACTGAAGATATGGCGTCGGAAACCGATGTGTTTAGTGAATTATCCTGATAAGTGAGGACGCTGTAAATTGTACTTTTCAATGCTGCGAGCACAAGGAACAAAACTCCATTCACCTCCTTTGTTTTGGGTTGGATACACACTTCTAAAAACATAGATAAATAAAAACAAAATATCTGCATGGCTACAGTAGAGGTACGTGAGAAAATATTTCTAATGGTAACTGACTGTCCTAACCCTAAAACGATTTACCCATGCTTATATAATTTACTGAACACACAGAAACTACCAAAACCTACAGTAATGCAATTGTATACTTACAGTGGTGTATGTATTCATATTGCAAATTATGTTAGAAAAAGCAATGCTATGCTACTTTAAATATGCCAAAACATCCACAAATAATATTTTTCTGTGAGATTTAAGATGGTATTTTCATGCAGACACACACCTATCTAAAAATGTATTGCATCTATTTTGTGTCCTACTGTTATAACCACTTCTTTATTATAACCTAGGGCGTATAGGCGCACTTGAATGCACTTTCAAATGTAACATAAGCAAAATAGCTGCCATGAAATGTCTCAAAGTGTCCAAAGATAGCAGGTCAGGACGAGCCCATTGACCGCAGCCCACATAATGTTTAAGCATCAACATTTTCTTACATGCCAGTACATTTTCTATAACAGTCTATAACAATATGTGGGAAATTATAATTAGTCCATTACAAAACATATTGTGTAAAATGTTTTGTATAAATGCATGTTTGTCCTGCTGCACTATAGGGTCACAGCGTGTGTCCCCTCTGCTCACATGGTTTATTTTAAGGGCAAATACATGTGAGGTTACGTCGAGGTGTTGCCTGAGCTGTCGACGATATGATGACTCACACTGAAGGGGGGGCATAGCAAGAATTTGGGATAAGACTTTACAGCTCATGGCGCCAAAAACAAGCAGCCACAGTCCATATTACAGTCAGTCATAGCCTACGCTTATATATCATCAAATATCATTCATCATTAATATTCGTTTGATATCGTTGTACATCACGTAGTTCTACATCCAACACTGACACTAAACACTTCGGTGATCCAACACAACACAAGTTAAATCACAGTGGACCAATATTCGATTGATTGGCAAGTGTACGAGTTTCCTCCACATTATCAATACATATAATAACATTTAAATATGTTGTTTTTACGACATTGAACCACAGGGACACATGATGCAAAATCCCGGATGACAAAACGCAGAAAATGTCACAGAGGTCTCATATATCAGAACACATATTGAAATCCTGACTAGGAAATATTATACATGTGAAACTGAGAAACATATGTAATTAGTAATACACAATCCAAGACCCTCCTAGATATATTATACAAGGCTTTTACAATTTAAACGCTACTACTTTTACGCATTATTTTTGACAATACACACTCGTCTCAAACCATCATAAGAACAAAAACCATGCACGTTTGACTATTTGCACATAAAGTCGACACAACACTTATTAGTAATTATAATGCAAAGGTTTCACAGTGACTGGAAATAATAAGAAGAAAGAAGAGAGAGAATATTCAGCAGCAGAAGTGACAACAGAGACACAACTCCTGCTCTCCAGCTCCGAGCAGCCTCACGCAAAATGCAATTTAAAGGGTGATTTGGGTTTGACGTCAGACCCATCCTCTAACACATCTCAGGCCGTGCATTACCTTTCTCAGGGTGAGGGAGAGGGGACGACAAGGAGGAGGGTCGGTCTCTCGTATTTTCTCTGTCTTTCTCTCTCTGTGAATACATCCAAAACGCGGGTCTCCCTTCCCCCGGCGCACAGCTGGAGGATCAGCAGCAGGGTCCACTCGGCACCTCGTCTCCATCACTGCTTTTGCTTTGACTGTCATTGATGTCTTCTGCAACACAGAAACACACGACAAGCACGGTGAGGGTTAACCGTAAAGTTCATCTACGGCCAAGCGTGCAGGCCTACACATTTAGGACGGAGATGTGACGTAGATGGGGGTTTGGATAGAGGTGGGGGGACTTTAACATATGTTTGATATGGATATCAGACTCCACCCCACAGCCAAACACATAAAAGAAGTCAGAAAAGTCTCAGTTTTTACGCACCAGGTTCATACAAAGCCATTCAGGAAAAGGCAGCAATTACATCACCCTTAAGAGATGCACGGTTTACCTTCAGTCACACACACACACACACACTGTCACCTGTGTCATTATGTAAAACACACACACTCACACACAGAGGAAGGGGGACTCCACAGGTCACGCTGTTTCCTTTTATAGAGAATCACTGTTTCCAGATGTTTCTTTGCTTTGAATTTTGTTACGACACGTGTCTTACATGTAGGCAACCTGCATGTAGGTGGTGTTCATTACATTACATTACATTGCATTTAGCTGACGCTTTTATCCAAAGCGACTTACAATAAGTACATTCGACCAGGAAGACACAACCTTGAAGAAAACAGAATCATAAAAGTACATAAGGTTTCATAGAGCCAAACATTTCAAGTGCTACTCAACTGGCTTTAGGTAAGCCAGTCCTTTATTAGTATAAAAGTGCTTCGTTAATAGTTCTAACGCTCGAAGTGGAGTTCATATTCTGCACATTATCTCATCGGTGCTTTGCTCATGGGTTGGGTCCCATATGGACATTTTAGAGACCCCTGCTAGGATTATTTTGAGCAAGGTGTGTTCATTCTGCTCGCTTAACGACATCATGTTAAACTTGAAGACATAGCTTCTTATTCTGGTTACTTAACGTCGTCGCCATGACGTCGAGACCAGCCCATCCAAACAGTATCATTTCAATTTCATTTACGTCACTATCGGCTCTCTGACGTCACATGCACTTTTCCACCCTGACAACACATTTTCTTGCCAAGCTTCAGGCCTGTAACTCGCAGGTCTCTCTGCGTCAAATGGGCCTTATTTTTCATAATGTACAACATTTATGAGTACGTCTACACTTCCTCCAACTTCAGACTGCTATTCGGCCTTATAATGCACACATATTTAGGCATGATTCATGATTATTCACCCGGGTGGGCCCTTTAACGGTGATGGGAGAGCAGATTCAAAACTGGACATAAAGTTGCAGGTGCTTTTCTTCTCGAGGCTACATTGGATTGCACCTTGTTTTATTGTTTTTACTCTGCCTTCTCACATAAAGAATGATCATGTCTGGCTTTTATCTTACTTGGTTTGATCACTTTGTGTGCTCACACCACTCATAATGCACACATAGACAGACAGGGGGCCGGGAGTTTGGATGTGCTGCAGAACATGTGAGTGTAGTGGTCGTAAAGCTGAAGAGTCGTTATTTTTAATCTACTGGGTCAGACTGACAGGACGAGTGTCCGGGTCTCTGTGGGACATTTGTGGAGGCAGATCACCGGGAACAGTGGTGGGCGAGGGGATGCTTATAGTGGTTACCCATTCATAAAACTGGGATGGGGACAGTGGAGTGTGTGTGTGTTTGTTTGTGTGTGTGTTTGTGTGTGTGTGTGTGTGTTAAAGGACAGAAAGAGGAGGGGGGGTTGCAGATGTTCCTTATCTCTCTCCAGCTGCCACACTGGCTTCTCCCTAAGTTAGGATGTCCTTGTTGGGGAATCCCTTGTATAGTGCACTTGCTTACAGGTGTGTGTGTGTGTGTGTGTGTGTGTGTGTGTGTGTGTGTGTGTGTGTGTGTGTGTTTCCAACATTATTATTTTAAGGGTGGGCTGGGGGTAGGATGACGTTCAAGGGAAATGGAACCCCACCCTCCAAAAGACACAGACACACAAACACACACAATATCCACCACTGTTTTTCCCACGTGCAACTTGTTCATTGAAGGGGTCTCCCCATGTGTACACTCTGCTCTGCTGGGGGCCATTGTCACCTGTTCAGTGTGGGACAGGGGGAGGGGGTTGGGTTTGGACTTAAGACTTAATCTTGCATGGCTCAAAGTTTTAGGTTGTTTTTGACATGATTTTTTTTGTGAGGAAGGATGCACGCAAATGTTTGATTAAACGTGGGTGCGACGTGGCTGCAGAGCTTCGCCACAATTTCTAACAAAGAAGAACACTGTTGACTCGGGAAAAAAATGCCAAACGTATAGGGCTGAAAATCACCCATGACAAAAGCGCCACTGCTATGGCAATGACGAGAAATACAAGAGCAAATAAGGACAACAGTAAAGCAAAAAGAAAAATCGGGTGGAAAAAAGGGAAAGCAGCCCTTAAAAAAAGAAAGATTGTAAAATTCCACGAGTGGAGCCGTGTTCCCGATGTCGATGTCTCGGCGCGGTGAATGCGCCCTCCGCAAATGCTTTTTGGGGTAAGGGCTTCCCAGATTAATAGTTATGAACAGCAAGCCCAGACCGCAAAAAGATTCGTGAAGGACATTATCTGCTGCTGCCGTCCGACGGAGACTCGGTGACTCCCGGGGAGCTGGTCTGCTTTCGCTTCCGTGGATGTATCTCCCATCCTGGCTCGGTTGATTGTATCTCCAGCCATCGGCAACCCGAGGGCGAGTGTGTCCCTCCAACACACACACACACACACACACACACACACACACACACACACACACACACACACACACACACACACACACACACACACACACACACACACACACACACACACACACACACACACACACACACACACACACACACCACACACACACACACACACACACACACACACACACACACACACACACACACACGGAGGGGGATAGAAAGGATGGAGAGAAAGAGAGAAAAAGGGGGTCTCCGGATGCCAAGGCTGCAACTGAGAGCTGTCCAAGGTCCTTACGCTTTGATTCCCACTCCTTCTCCAGTTTGAATCTCTCCCTTCTCTCCCCCTGCCTCATTCCCTCATATTTTCCTCCCCCTGTAATTTTTTTTATCCAAACGCTCGGATGTGCAAATCCCGTGTGATGATCGGGAGCTGCGCATCGATGCGTTTTGTTGTCAGTGTGCACCCTCTCTTTCTCTCTCTCTGAGTGTGTGTTATAGTCCCCGGTCCGCGGTGTGTGTCTCCGTGCCGCGCTGACTCTCTGCTCCAAAGCTCTGGGTGAGGAGAGAGCAAGGCTGTAAACTGCTGGCAATAAATAGAGAGCAGGGAGGGATCTCATTGGAGGAACCAAACCTCGTCATCAACCAATCGGTGTGTCGCTTATATAGGGACCCCCCTTTTTGAAAAAAAAATGAAGTCGACAGGGTTAACCAAATTGTGATCTATACCAGAGTAAGTGTATTATGGATATGAGAATTTAATGCGGATAATTGGTGAATGCATGTTTTGGTTTTGATAGGGTGTCCACGAAACTAAACGTTGTATTACATGTGTTGTGTCATGATTAATAATCTCGATGTGAAATAATAAACGAGATTTTACAAAAAATAATGATCCATTTCCCCCCTGATAAGAAAATAAAACTCCCTCTCGTTCCCATTTCGCAAATGATGGGCAATGCAAAGACAGCAATCAAAGATATAATTAGAAGAAATAACAGTTACATGTCGACGAAGTGTGGAAAGCTCTCCACGTCGCATCAAAACATCAGCAAGAAGCATCTGAGGCGACTCGTGGTCACCTATAGAGTTCACCGGAGGGAACCACTGCGAAAAACACGCGGGGGGTTTCCGAACTGCAAATTCAGTCCAACACCGCGATGCTTCAGTCATTTGCAAAGATTCAAAGGTTGAAACCAAACATAATCTTACCTATATCACAACTGCGATAACCGTGCAACATATTAAAGCATATACAGCAACAATAAACAACTTAACAAAACAACAACACAAAGCTGAGCATCACGTCAGGAGTTAAAGAGTTAAGCACGACCGTAAAAGCACTCATTCTCACACAATGTTTAATATGTTGGTTTTGCTCAGTTATCAAATAGAGTAACTTACCTGTTGTTTTATTCCCTGCAACACTTCCATTAGTTTGTAATATATTATCATTATAACAACTTTCCACTCCACTGTACCGAGGGGGAGGACGGGTCACGATCTGGATCCGGACCCCTCTCTTCACTCCCCCCATATTTAGATCCAATCCCAAACATAAGCCCCTCTTCTTCTCCCTCCCTCCTCTTCTTCCTCTCTCCATCCATCCACACCGCCCCACTATCACTGATGAAACTCGCCTGCATTCAAGTTGGCTGCCAGCATCAAGCAGCAGGGCTCACACACAAAACAAGCGTTTGGAGAAAGGATATATTTGGGATTGAGGAAAAGGGAGGGGGGGTTAGGGAAAATGTTTTTGTAATCTCTCCTGGTGTGGGTATTTTTTGTATTGGGTGGTCTTTTCATTCGCAACCCAGTCAGTCACGATTCTCCCCCACCGTCTGCACTGCACAGTGACTGCCTCTCCTGACGCAGCCAACGCGCACATTACTCACTTTAGCAGTCACGACTCGGGAAACCGTGTTGTTTCCACCGAAATTACACGCTCGCTGTTGAATTATTGAGCAAGATCTGGCTCCTCGAGTCGGTATTTGCGCTTTTTGACCGACGAAGAATTACAGAGTCGGTGTTTTTGTTAGTGTTTCTTTTAGGGGAGGTGGAGGAATGTAACTAGAATCGGGATTTTGCAAGACAGGTGGTCGATTTGGGATTTTTCTATGTGGCACTGTAACTTGCATTCAAACTATGGGAAAAAAATCCCAAATTCGTGCACATTTGGTTGGGGATGAACTCGGTTTCGTGCAGCCTGGTCCGGATCGCTAATTCAACACTGATACCTTATTGAAAGGGTGATTCCTTCAAACTTCATCGCTAATAGCTACGCTCCCTTCGCCTTTTACGCGTTATTGTCACGAGACACATAATAGTTAGTAGCGTCCTGCTGAACTCAAACACATCGTATCTCAACTATTTGGCTACTTTCTCAATGACTTCGTACGCGCAATGCCAACTTTGGCACTCCAGATCTTCTGTTCATTTGAACGCGAGTTGCTCCACTTCAAGAGGCTGGATTGTTAACGAGTTGGGAGAAAATGACAGTACTGATGAAAGAAGAGCTGATCCAGGTCGGTCCGTCACTCTGTCTGAAGCAGTTCAAAAATACACAGGCGGGAAAATCTCTATTATATATCATCTTTTCAAGCCCAATGTCTTCCCTCAGTTAGCGCAGGCAGTGTACAAGAGGCGGGTTGCTTCAGGATTTCTCCTCCAGTAAATAAAGCTACTGGCTGCCAGGCACAACACACACACACACATGCATAGAAAACACACACATAGACAAACACCACCAGCAACAGCCCACTACCGCCACTTGGTGTGGTTTCATCTCCATTGCTGCTGGACAGCTCTCGGGTTTCCCCATGCGGTGTCTCCGCTGCAGCAACAGATCCTTCACCTCCTCTCTTTCTCCTCCACCGATGTGTCCCTGCCAGTGTGACTCCTCTTAAAAAACAAGCATACTGAAAGGAAAGGCGTCCTCGAGCGCTCATCAGAGAAGGGTTCCCCTCGCTCTCGCGCGGTTAAGATGGGAGGGAAAACATAAATATGTGATAGAGACTCAACAGCGCCAACAGACAAAGGGGTTTTTTGCACTTGCTTATTTACCAAAAAGGGTGATTCCTACTCTGCAGGAAAGGGTTGCTCTTTGCTTCTGCTCTAACAGTGGCTCGTAAAGCATGCCAATTAAATCCATCAAGTGTGTTTGCGTGCATGGGATAGAAGAAGGGGAGATGTGGAAACAGCACAGGCACTCCGGAGCATGCACTAAATACACAAAAGTACACAGAATGAAACATGTGTCTCACTCACCGTGGTGCAGGCTCGTCCTTAATGTAATCTGTGAGGAAGAGAAACACAGAGAGACATTTTAGTGAAAAGCATCAACAGGAGTCTGGAAGAAATGCAACAGATTAAGTCCTCCATTTGTTTTTATAGGCTTACAGTGGCACGTCCAAGTTTGCTCAGGATCGCCTCCCTTTTTATACAAGTGATACCCGTCTGTCTATTTCTGGCGCACGATCAAAACTATGATGCTATTTTTAGGTCTCAGATACGAAGGAGAGAGAAAAACAAAAAAACACACTCACAAAAGGTATCGCTTAGGAACGTGAAGTGCATGTAATGGAAATTATTGTTTGCATCTCCAACTCTGCACAAGAGCCCCGATTCCCCTATGTTGCATCATTGCAGTGATTTTTTTTTCTTTCTGGAACCCAATGTGCCTCCACCAGCACCAGCAGCTCACTCGCATCCCTAAAACACACTTTCACCCCCCACAAATACAATCTGCAAGTCGTCGTCGCTGCCAATATCATGCAATAAAATATCTGATGTCTTGTCGCCCTCTTCAGCTTCTCGTCCCAGTGTCACTTCAGCTCAAACTCATGAACGCACAAATAGCTCCATATTCTGATGTACGCAGATTACGCGACGCTGCCTGCGGAATTTATTATTTATTTTTCTTTGAGTCGACGAAGCACTGTAACATTTAGTAATTAAGCTTTGCTGACGAGAAGAAGAAAAAATTATAAATAAAAAAGCCAGTTTTTTTTTCTTCGTTGAAGGGCTGCGTCAGTCACTAGGCATTGACGTCACGTTTAGATTCTCTCACTTTACAGCCCGTAGAGTCTGATTAAAGACGCTGCTGCTCTGCCGTGGAAAAAAAGAGTGACAAAATAGGAAAATATTACAGGTGGATAATGTGGTTTGGATACGTGGAAACAGCAGTTTTGGAGAAGGTTATCTCATGAAAACTCTCCTCTATTGCTGGAGCATCTGGGTTTCCATCCAGCCCCCCTCCCCTCCCCTCCTCTCTCTCTCTCTCTCTCTCTCCTCTCTCGTCTC